GTACTTAAGTGTTCAAAGATTAGTTTCCTTGGAAACAGACAGCAAAAGATGTAAAATTCAAAAATCATTTTGATAAGCACATGTCATATTTATGTAAAATTTATGTTGCCTTTTTTAGATGGCCTGTACTTGAACGCCACAAAATATATGGTTCTGGATTGGAACTGGAGGGATCAGAAACTAAGGAGAATGATGGATATCCCTGAGGTATTGTATAAACACCTGTATATAATATATTCCATATATTCCACTTTTGATTCTAGTGCCCAGATCTTGGTCAGTAAGGTTTTCTTTCTGTAAAGCTGACTTCAGTGATCTAGAAACACAAAGAAGTCAACATTTGACTGGTAAGTCTGTACTCTCAGGTCTCAAAATTGCCTCCTGAGGAAGATTTTTTTCCTTTTTTTATTGCAAGTCATAGCTGTGACTTACACAGTTGTGCTATGAATTTCTCCTGTTTATGCTAGATGGTTGTTCTACCTGTTGCCAGAAGTTCTCTCAGTAAGAGGATTTTGTGTAAAAGTTTCCTCAAAAACCAAATAAAACTTTGGAGAAGCATTTCTTTGTCTCCATCTGAGAGTAAGATAACTTCTCGTGAGTAAATCCACAGACAAGTTCGTTCTTTTTTTGTTTTGTTTTGGGTTTTTGTGGGGTTTGGGGGGTTTTTTTGGCAAGAAGTAGGGTGCAAACTATGTAGAGCCATCCATCATTTGTAGACTCCTTTTAAGATAATTTCCTATTTTTTTCAGTTCTGTAATCCAGCTTTCACGTTTATTGCTGTGACAAGGCATGTTTACCGTATGCTGTCGGGCATCAGCTGGTATCTAGCCAGAGAGAGTGAAAGAGGCAGATTCCTCCATCAGTCGTCATTATGAAGCTCCCAAGTTCCTGCACAGTTGTTTCCTTTTTATTGTGTATTTAGAGCAGGCTGATATGCAGAATCCCCAGGGGAAAAGGACTATTATTTTAGATATATATATTTTGCTGTTTCACAAGTGAAGACAAATTATCAGTCGTTAATCCTTCTCTGTGCTTGTCTGTGTATTTGGGTGTGCTGTATTTTATAGTCCCCCACACACAAAGGTACCTGTTCCTAATAATTTCAGATAAAGCGCCCCACAAAAAAATACACTGCAGAAATGAAGTAACAAAAAAAACCCAGCTTTGCTTTTTGAGGCAAGCAGGCTCCCTCTTGTGGTAAATACATAAGGCTTTTTTGTATGGTGCTTGCACTTACCTGTAAGTTTTTTAAAGAACAGAGAACACAAATTCACAGACAGCAGTACAAAAGGTGCTGGTTGCAGTGGGATGGATTTTTGAAGTCAACTGAAGTAAATATAGCTACAGTAGACTGTAGGTGATTCACCTCAAAAAACTGAAGATTATGTTGCTAATATTTGATTTTGGGCTATTGCAAACCTGAACTATCCCTTACGGCTCACTGTAGGTAGCATCACAGCATTTCTGCATGTCTGTCTGGGAATATAGGCCAAAAATTTTGACTCCAGATGCATTTTATGAAGGCAAAATCTTAAGGCTATCTTAACATCAAAATGTTAAGGCTTAGCTCGAGTTAAAAGCAAGTAAGAAAGAATGTTACACCTTCATATATAGTGTTAGCATAAGGAATAGATATTTATGTGTGATTACAGGATAGTGAATATGTGATTACAGAAAAGTATTCAAACTTGCACTTGACTTGGGTAACACAACATACAGAAAGGTTTTTGACATCTTGAGCTGTGTAAGTGGAGCGTTTTGCAGCTATTTGTCCTGCTGCAGACATCAGGCAGATTCCTGAGAGTTATTTATAAGGAATGTTAGCAATAAAAGGTACCCAAACAACGTTTTGGAGATAAGTCATCTTAACACAGTAGAAACCAATGGGATGTTTTGGCAACTTGCAGACTTAAAATATGGAATACAGTCTTAGTGAGCAGAGGATCTTACTCTTTTACTTGTATAAAAATTGTCAAATACTTGCTATGAATAGTCAGAAGTTTTCTCAAAGAGGAGAGGAATTATAGTACCAAAAATGTAATTTAGAGAACTGGCAGCTTGATGTACTAATTTCTTTCATCCTGTATTAGTTGCGGAGGCAAAATTGTACCCTTAAAATTAGAAATGAGGCATACTGACCTATTTTCAGTGCAAACCTCACTTGTCAGTAATTTCTTTGCATATTTAAGGTGCTGCATTGCTAAATTTCATTGTAATTACACCAGAAAGCAAGAACAGCTGGAAGCACATGTCTATTCTACTTGCTGTTTTTGTACTCATCTGATATTCAGTGGAAAATTATGTACACAGTGGTATATTCTGATAAATATATGAATTTAAAAACACATGAATCTTCCTACATGATAGTCCTGTACCCCATTATATCTACGTAATGGATGGTGGCCTGATCCACTGCTCTCTCAGTTGCCTCAACATCTCATTAGTTAATGCTGTTAGATTTTTTTTCCTCTGTTTCTGTCTCTCCCGCTTCATTCATCCCGAACAATGGAGAGAAGGAAATAAAAAGAAAGCTCACAAAGAAACCAAAGGAGGGGTGAACCAGTTTGTCAGACCCTGTCTTGGCACAGTGGAGTTATACTAAATCACAAAGGTTTAAATAAAAATCGATTGTATACTTTCTGATCTGACCAAAGGACAAGCTTCCTGCTTTGAAAGCTTTGTGTATAGAGGTTGATGGCAATACAGAGCTGTCTCAACTCCTCAGATTACTTGTTTGTAAGATTCAAATGGAGTTTTTTCAACAAAAACCAATATTGTATTGTCTCCAAACAATACAAACACTGAGCCTTGAGTAAGTTTGAAAATACGGAAAGTTTAAGTTCCAGGCTTCATGAAAGTAAACAAAATTATAGGAAATGGACTTGTGATAGAAAGACAACTGTTTTCACCCTCATGTAGCACATCCAGTGTGGAATAGAGGTTAGTCAGGCTTTCTCACATCATTTATTCCTGTGCAGAGTGGAGGCACGGAAGGATATAATCCTGAGATAAAACTTGCAAATAAGTTATTTGTAAGTGGGAAGAGGGAGCTATAAGGAGACTCTGGACTAACTGTGATAGAGAATCTTGTGTTCCTGCTGAAATGTGTAGTCAATATTTACTCTCGAATACATTTGTCTTTTATCTTTAGATAAGCAATAAGCTACAGCCATATCCGTGTTATAAACCAAAGTACTTTGCATGCAGCACATGCAGACCTGACCTTCATGCTCACTTTCATTCAGGTCTCTCAGACACTGTTGTGGCTGTTGCAGTGCAGTACTGCCTTTGGACTACTTGACACTGGTTGATACTCTGGGAAGTCCCGTAGGGATTTTGCAAGCCAGGATGGACCTCTTGCTGCAGCATGCTTTATCAGCTCCTCACCAATGACAGCTTTTCCATAGCCATGTTAGATGGGACTTCACAAGCCGTAGTTGTACTTTAGGATTGCAGAGCAAATGCTAGGTATTTTAAAAAATGGCAGTATTCTAGAGCTCAGGACCTTGTATGGGAACCTTTTCTTTCACTTCTAGTCCTATAGTAAGGTGCCTGAGTAAATAAATAATGGTATTTAGCCAAAGCATTATCAGTAACTTCCGATGCTTTCTTTGATTTTTGTTTTCTTCAGATAAAGAAAGAAACAATTGACCTACTGGAGATGAGTATTATAAAGCTGTGCAGAGAAGGGTCTGTGAAGCTGGGACTCTTTTAATGGTTTTACCAACAAGGAAGTCATTTGCAGCTGCATTTTACTATTATCCTGCCTGCAATTGGCAAGTGATAAACAGGTGATGGAATCAAGAATTTTGAGTTTTCAGAGGTTTGTCAATACAGAAAGAATGCACATTGTGACCTTTCCTGAGTTTCCTTTTAATAATAAAACAGAGGTTTTGTTTGTAGTTTTAGTATGATTTTTATTGCAGGAACAATGTGATACTGAAATGAGAGTTACATTGCAGTCACCTGCTAGATTTACTGCTATATGTCACTTTTAAGACTTTGAAGATGAGCAAACTTGGGTGTGAAAGTCTTTGTACAACTTATTTTTCTGTTTTCTCTCTCTGCTGTCCCAAAGGAGACATTTACTTCTCTCATGAGAGTTGTAATCTAGTTCTTGCCCTCAAGGGTCTTTGAAAAAGTTGTATGAATTTCAGTAATTTGTCAAAAAGGTATTTTTCACCTATCTCTTCTAGAGCTGGCCAAATGCTATTTTTTGCTATTACATGATAAATTGTATTATATTGAGACTTTATTTGGTTAAACCGTTGAAGTGTGCAAAAAATATTCTTCTGTTTGTCCATTTAAATTAAAAGGAGATGATCTCTGGGTGATTTTTTTGTCCTTGTGGATAGTAGGGAATGGATGGACTTTTTTCAGAGGACAAGATGAACAGAGGTGAGCATATCGTCAGCGTCTTGGAACACCATTGATCCAAATCAGATGTTTTGAGAATGAGTTGTCCTTTTGTGATAAAGGACACCCAACCTTTTTACAACTTTAAATTGCATCTGAATCAATAGCAATGAATGTAGCAGGTTAAGAAAATTGATTTGGTCTTCCAAAGCAATGTTTTGTGTCCAGCGCTGTCTCAGCACCTGCAGTTCTCCCCAGCAGCATCCAGTGCAATTTAAGAAGAGCTCCTTTCATTGTATACCATGCCTGTTAGCTTGGCAGCTATGGAAATGAAGGGAGAAGAAATAATGCATCTGAGATTACACAGAAATTCCAGTATAGCTGGCAGTATCCCTGAAAATGAATAAGACATAACAAATCCTACTGAATTGTGGGGCAGGAAAAAGCATATATTTAAGCTTTTCCAGGAGGCATGAGGTGGACACCCTGACCAAAGTACACAATCGTTTGATTGGTACAAGCTGATCATGGGGATCCGGGTACAAATGTACAAAATGAGGAAGAGAGAGATCTAGTTAATAAGTAATTCCTGACCATAATGCAGGTTTGAACAAACAATAATCTCCCAACAGTAAGGATAGTATCTCAGCTTAAACGCTCTCCAGCACAAGTATATTATTCCTTCCTCTCACCAAGAAGAAAATGAAAAACAAGACAAGTTCCCTTCCGCAAGAAGGAGAGGCACGTCCTTCCAGATGTCCGGATAACAGTGCGTTCAAACAACAGAAGCTACCAGCTTGGAAGCCCCAGCTTACCATTGCGGCTGTGCTGTCCAGCTTTTTTCTCACAGGCGTGTTCTGCCTTTCTGTGGGAGTCTGCCTCATTATATCTGCAAACAGCGTCAGAGAAATCCAGGTTTGTTTGGGCGTGGTGTTCTAATGAACATGTTCTATGAAGAAGAAACTGGGCTACGTTTGGAGGGAAAAGGCTTTGAGTTTTTGCTCCTGGATAAAGATGACAGCAATGGCTTCATGCCTTGCACATGTGTCCAGCAGCCAGTATTCCTGTGAAAATCCTCAGAGATAGTTGGTAACCGATAAAATCTGAGCACTGGGTGGTTAACTGGGTGGTAATATCTGAAATATGGGTGGTAATTACTGCCACTGGCTTGTAATATCTGAAATGTTGTTATTATTTCCTGGATTTTTGAAAGGAAATAAACTAATCCCTTTGGTTGTGTTTGGTACTAGAAGAACGTACATGTTTGCTGGGGCAAAATGTTAAAATGCAGGGAGCCATGATGTTTAAATGCCTCCTGGAGGCAAGGCTGGTTAGACCTGTGGTGGTATTAATAGACTCCTGGTTGGAACAAACACTCAGCACTACATCCAGGCTGTTCGAGAGGGGTGGGCCATAATGCTTGTGGGGATTTGTCAGGCATTACTTGGTCAGCCAGACCGAGCTGCAGAAGTGTTCTTCACTCAGCACTCCTTTGCCGAGGAGCAGATGTGGAGGTTCTGCAACAGTCGTCAAAAGGCTCTAAAGCAGCTTTAAACTAGGGATAAAATTTGTGGACGTTTGTTGAGGCCAAGTCCTGATTCTCTGCCTCTGTCGATTTTTAATAGTGTTTTTGGCAGTCCAGAGTCACTTAGAAGAGAACTGCTCTGAGAAGTCTTGGAGCTAAACCACTAACCTTTTCCTATGTGCATGCCCCTTATTACAGTATCTCTGCTTGTTCACTTCTCTGACAGATTGATTATTCAGATAAGTGCTCAGATTGTTCAAAACTTCGTGAAAATTCCTCTAATTGGAATAAGGAATGCCACTGCTCTGTTAATTTCATGCTAAAGGAAGATATGTTGGTAAGTGGATGCATGAAACCAACTCAACTTGCTTAATACTTTCTGTTACATATATCCCTATATGATAAAATATACCAATTCGGCTTGGTAGAACTCCTGACTAAATTTTCTTTGTACTTTTTAAAAACATGAAATATTCAAAATTTTACACTTTTGCCTTTACTGTTCATTTTGGTACATGTTAAAAATAATCAAGATCAGGCTACCTCTGTCCTTGGTTGGGAGATGTCCAAGGAGAAGATGGGGCTGGAGGAAATAGTGTTTGATTGTGGAGGTGACTTCTTTCTGTATCTCTCTCTCTGAGTCAGTAGCAAACCCTTTCCCTTAGTCAAGGGTTAGTTGTTACCGCATTGCTAAGCTCTCAAATGAGAAGGAAATCTGAAGCTCTGACCACTTGTCGTAAGTAAACCCCTGTAGTCTTTTTTTACAAGGGTTATGCTGTTAATCCCAAAGGTCCTTGAAATAATTCAAGTGTAGCAATGTCATTCTGCAGTTTCACTTGGGAAAAGTATCCTTCGTTTCCTGTCCTAAACTACTGGGTCATGTTGCTGAGACTGTTAAAATGCTTCATGTTCCACCAAAGAGATCTTATGCTTAGAACTGCATAAATGATCCCTTAAAATTACAGTGCAATTTGAATTACAAAGTCACTTTAGGGTTCTTCAGTATTGAAGAGGCTGTTAAAATACTTTGTCATTCTTCAGATTACAATGCTGTTTGAGATGAGAAGTTTATTTAACTGAATAATGGGGTTTTTTATAGTTTAATAATCCTCTTTCTTGCTTGTATTTGCCTGCCTAGCATCCTCCTTTTGATTACAGGACTAAACTTTCCAAAGGGTTCAAATAATTGATGAGAGGCAGCCTTATTTTTTTCAAAAAATCTGAAGGAATTAAGAGCTAATGGGTACTTTTTGAAGTTTCTTGTCCACCTTCTTTTATGGAAAATGAGTGTCTGTCTCATGAAATTATTCATAGTCATTGCAGGTTCATGGCCAGCCATGCTGTCTTGACTAAAATAATAATCAGACATTTTTATTTTAGGTTTTGTTTGGTGATTTAAAGTATGTTTAATTTTGTGCCAAAATACTGAACTTTTCAGTTGGGGTAAAGACGAGATTCTAGCCAGCATGCGCTGAAGTAATTTCTTAGAGTGTAGTTACCAACACTTAAACGTGAATTGAGTACTCTCTTCCCCTCTCTTTTTTAGCAAGTAATAGGATTTCACTTTGTCTATGTGAACTCAGCTTATTGAAGGGATTTATCCTTGAATTCTAGGGTGACGTTTTTATGTACTATGGCTTGCAAAACTTCTATCAAAACCACCGTCGATATGTGATATCAAGAAGTGACGCACAATTGTTGGGTCGAAATGTAAATGTAAGTTTTCTTCTTTTATTACGAGATTGTCAGTATTTCCATCAGGTGCATCTTTGACCATATGGATAACTAACTAGACGTAACTGTAAGTGTGTTAAGATGGCTCTAGGGAATAATAAGAAGGTACAGATTTTCAGTGTTTGGTCTCTGCTTTTATGATTGTTAGGGCCATTATGTCTAATAAGTTAATAAGAGAGGAAGATTGAGGAGATAAATAAAAGATGTCAGTCCAGTGTTGCAATTCTCAAACCTGCACCTGGTAAGGATGCTGATTAAAAATACATTGTCTTTTTCAAATAAATTTACAGAAAGCTTTTCCTTTAGTGTTTTCAGTCTTCTTAGCCAGAAATGTATTAAGCTGTGCTTTTATTATAGGGTTAGGGAATTAAGTTATTCTGAGTCTTTTGTTTGCCATCTGGCTTTGGAAGCAGACAAGGAGCAGGAAAAGGTTTATGGTGAAATAGGTGATCATGTAGCATGCTAAGTATGCAATTTAGAGGTCTAAAGAGGAGGCTAGACAGCAGCACCTGCAGCAGGCCTACATAAGGCAACTGGAAAATGCAATCATTGCATTCGGGTTTTTTTACTTACAAATCTAAAACATGTTTTCTTTGGCTTAAAAGTAGCATTTCTCAATATATACACAGTCCACACACTGTCCTCTCAGTACATATGATGGTTGTGCCATAATAATCTGTTGGTTTTATAAAATGCTTCTTGTAACTCTCAAGACATGTTCCGCATACAAACAAAACCCCCAGATTCTGTGCCTGATTGTTCCGTGACCTTGAATGCAGATTCAGAAGAGCTACTGCGCACCCTTCACCACCTACCGAAATGGGACACCCATGGCTCCCTGCGGTGCTATTGCCAACAGCATGTTCAATGGTAAGTAGGTACCTTCCACATCTGCCTTACTGATTTCCACTTGAAACTATTCCGTTACCCCAATCCAGCTGAGTCCTGATATTGCAAGATCTCTGTCTTTCTCCCACAAAAGGTTTTGTTTGGTGGTGCTACTGTGGTGAATATGGGGTCCTGCTTCCTACAGTTTAGTAACTTGCCCCTCATTTTGAAACTGAGGAAGATTTTTATTTTACTAAGGCCCTCTTCAATGTGAATATACAACAGGACTGAGGAATTGAGTCCCTGGTGAAATAAGGAACGATGATACAACAGATTTAATGTACTTCCTTGCTAAAAAATACATTCTCGTACAGTGATGGGAGAGCCCAGATTCTGCCTTCCTACAGTGGTGTGCTAAGAAGGAGGTGACATGTTCTTCACATTGGCTTGAACCTTTGGATCTATGTGGTTGCATTTTGTTCTTTGAATGCTGGAAGCATACATAGTCCTACTCAATTTGATCCCGGGTTTGGTCTTGTTTGTAGTAACCTAGTGGGCGTAATCTACAGAGTACATTTAGGCTGAAACCTAGAGGGCTCCTAGCCATGAACGCTGGCAGATTTCAGAATGGATTTCTTTGGGAGGAAAGGAGACAAAAAACTTCTACAGACTGTTCCCCCCTACCCCATCCTTTTTGTCTGCCGCTCACCCCCACACACACCCTTTTTTTTGACCTGTTCCACACAGTGGTTTTTGGCAATGCAGCAGCTGTTTTCAAGCAGCTGAGCCATGCACACTAGAGGACTTGTGAAGGGCAGCTGCATTCAGTAACTTGTAGATTCATTTGATTTTCATCATTTGATTGGCACCCACCTGCTCCCCTGGAAGGCTGACTTACTGGACTGGGCTCAGACCTAGGCCAGCAGAGCTACCTGTGTGGAGCCCACACTGTTCTGGAGCACTGGCTGCAGGACAGAATGCTCCTGCGGAGAATTAGGGATACTAAGATTTTAAAATCCGAAGGGTCAGCCTCCCAGTGTCTGCCTTTGCATCTGTCCTTAGTGCACAGTGTGTTGAAAGGTTCCAGCCGCTGGTGATGTGGGGGAAGGAGGTGATGTCTGAATCCCCCCTCTGGTAGCTCATTTCTGTCCCTCTGCTGTGAAAGAGGGTGCTTCCTGTTCACTTTCGACACTTCATCTGGTTCTCTGATTGCTCTCTAATCTTGTTTTGTAAAATGAGGAAGATGACCAAGTTCCTGCCACGGGAAAGGTTTTTAACCTAAGCTAGCCCATAAGGGAGCAGTCAGACAAGCAGTTAAACAGGCAGAGGTCGGAGAATTGCAACTCATGTTAATAAACTAGTGACAAACAGCTGGGGAGGTAGTGGGGCACAGAGTGACCACTTACTCAGAAGAGCATGTCCGAGCCTTAAGGAGCTGTGTGAACACAGGTTTTGTAGCAGGATTAAAAAAAAGGAAGTTTTCATTGATGCTCATGCAGTTGAGTTGTGTTTTTCATATTTCCTAAAAAGCAGCCCCTCCCCTTTATGTCATCTAACTATCTCTGCCCATCATCTTGTTGGCTGCATAGGTGTTTACATAGATGGCAATGAGACCTATAACGTTTTTGCCTTATGTTAAACTAATCTAAGTAGGAAAATTGTTTTTTGCCCACCGAAACAAAATGGCATGGTTAAGCACAATTTTAACTAAATGTGTTTTGGTTGCAGGAAGTGGTCACGTCCAAGTTGGTGGACAAGGACCAAAGCAAAATTTTCTCCAAAGGATCATGGATTCCCTTGATTGTCCTTTCACCTCTCCCCTGTTCCCTGAAAACACATATTATATATAGCAAAGCAATCAGTTCAGGACAACTGTCAAAGAAATGCTAGGGAAAGCTGGCTAGGAGAGTAACTTCTGTAACTAGCTAGAGAGGTCCAGAAGTGATTTGCAAAGAATTTAGTCACACAGGAGTTGATGGACATGAGATACTTGCACATATTTCTACACAGGGATTCAACAGGATTATTGGTAGGAGTATGTTCAGCCTTTAAAATGTCAGAAGTTCTAAGGCTCTGGAATCTTAATTCTTCTTATGGAATGTACCATGCTCTGTACACAGTCATGATGAAACCTTTCCCGGGATTTTTTTGTTTTGTTTTCTATTCGCTTGAAAGGTGCTTCAATGTGACAGTTTTTGTTAGTTGTGCTGGCAATTAGAATGACTGTCTTTTACTCATAGTTATTGCTTCTTGTATTCCCTGCAGATACTATTGATCTGTTTTACAATCTTAACTCATCTGTTATTCAAGTACCACTGCTGAAGACTGGAAACAGTTGGTGGACAGATAAAAATGTGAAATTTCGCAATCCAAAATCATACAATCTCTCTTCTGCGTTTGCAGGTAAGAATGGTTCTACTGGTATTCCTTATTTTTCAGTGGCTTCCCTACCTCCCCCTGCCCTGTGTGTGATGGTCTCCCGTTCTGAGATGAATTGCCTTTGGGAGAAATACCTCCCAAACCAGGTGGGAGAAGCAGCTTTAGAGGGTGACTGAGAGCAGAAGACAGATTTAGCCAAAGTACCACTTTTTTTTGTTTTTTTCAAATCACTGACTGAAATTGGGAGAAAGTGGTTTTGGAAGACTGAAGTTAGCCCACATCAACACCCTTCCGTATAGTTTCTTGTAACGCTTAATCTGTCCAGAGAAAGCAAGGATGCAGTCACTTTATTTTTTCCTGTTGAAAACATCTATGAAGGAGAATTGCATGTCACATCTTTCCTTCTTCATGCCTTTGCAGATTCTTAGGGAGTTGTGAGGCAAGTGAGGCTGCTATTATCACTAGTTCTTTCAAACAGCTGTTTCCTAGGGCTGTTTCCTTGTGATAGTTGATCTGTATTGAAGTGGGACTAAAAGCTTCCTATTCTGGATCAGGGCAGTGCTGTACTGGATGCAATACGCAAGAGTTAATTATCTAAGTAGTTTTCATATGACATATTCTAGATATCATAGGCTGTGCTGTTAGGACTCCAAAAAGGTGCCTTTCCGGTTGTACAGGAATAAATTAATGTATAAAAACGAAGGCAAGTTCCCCGTAGAGAGCATGTTGCTTGCTGAAGAGGCAAGAATCCAGAATAAACAGTATTTTTATTTGTCCAAGTCACTTTCTTTTTCCTGTGCTTGAAGTTTCTAATGTGTAGCAACCCCTGGGTACTGTTAAACTCTGTTAATTCATGTTCGAGGTGAGTGGAGATGGTTGGGTGAAAAGTGTTATGTAGCATATAGAATTTTTCAATACTGGACAGTCTGTGTCTCTTTCATATCTCATATTCTGTGTTGGTTGTGAGTAGGCCCAGAAGTTAGTCACCAACCACTGTTTTTACTGATCGTGTGTCTTTCCTGTTTGCTTTCTTTTTCATCAGGGACAGCAAGACCTCCTTACTGGCAGAAACCGGTGTATTTGTTAGATGAGGAAGATGAAAGGAACAACGGTTATGTAAATGACGACTTCATTATCTGGATGCGAGTGTCAGCCTTTGCTACATTCAGAAATCTTTACCGTCGTGTCAGACGGATAAGGCAGTTTGCAGATGGCCTCCCAGCAGGGAATTACACTTTTCATATTTCCTATAGTATCCTTTCATATTATCCAAGACTATTAGATGGTTACAACAAGATGGAAGTGGATGGGATTTGTATAGTAAAATGGCAAAGCAACCAAGCAAAACACCCAAAACTAAATCACCTAGTTTTGAGGGTGATGAGACAGCTACAAGTGGATTTTCTTTAGCCCGTGCAGATGGAGTTAAGACGAGTTACTCAAATGGCAGCCCGTGACTTTGGATTTGATTCTGAGGGGGCTACTTTTGGCTGGAGACAGCACGAGAACTTTACGCGAAGGGTAAAACTGAAGAGTTGCTTTAGCTGAAATATTTAATAGTGGCCTAATCAGATGTGTAGACACCTTTACAGGGGTGCACGAAGTGCCAGAGGTATCACTGCGGTGGAGAGCTGTGCAGGATGGGACGCCTGTGTCAGCAGAGCCCTCTGGCAGATTTGGGCCATGTGCTGAATGGAACTTCTGTGCTGGTGAAAGTACACTCTCATGCTGAACAGCGTGAACTTTGCTGACTAAAGCACTTGTTTTGTCACCAGGAGTTATGTCAAGATGACTATAAATTTCTCTCCTCTCTCAGCCAGGAGAGCTATGATTTACATGTTGTAGCACAGTCCCATTCTGAAAGCTTCCATGTGGAGAGATAAAAGGTAAAATCATGTAACGTTCTAGGTAGACAACATATTAGGTAGAGGTGAGCACTTCCCTCAGTGCGAATATCATCATGATAAGTGGAGTATCATCATGATACGCTGCCCAAAAGGCTCATTTTCAACTGAGTTTTCATAGCAAATTAGCACAGTAGCAGTTACATAAATTATGAACCTGAAATTTAAAATGAAAAAAAAAAAAGTATTTCCATGTTCACCCAGAAACTGTATCTGAAATAACCAGATTTCTCACCACCAGCTTCTACTGGGTTTTTGGACCCAGAATAGCAGAGACATCACAGATCAGTTAAAGGAATTTTTGCAGCAAATGCAGATCTTTAGGCTCTTTATGCCTTGGAAAGGTTTTTGAGCATTTACCACTACTTTTTGTCCCCCTGGAAATAATGTAAGCTTTGTTAGCAAAACCTTAACGTCCTTCTATCAGACTTCCCTGTTACCAAATTCAAGGGGAGGAAGCATGTGATTCTTTCAACCGTGGTATGGAGCGGAGGAAGTAACCCATTCCTGGGAATTGCCTACGTGGTTTCTGGCACAGCAGCAACCCTGACAGGTTTTGTCATAACTGTCATCCACTTAAAGCTCAGAAAAAAGAAAACGTTCTTTCAGAAGTAATAAGGCTCCCTGGCTTTCTGAACAAAGGCAAAGGTGTGTTGTAAATGAAGAACGTGCAGTGCAGACCTTTCATTCTTTCCCCTGAGCTCTGGATCTGTTTCAGTAACAGGTTTGGGGAATGTAAGCAAATTGAGGGGTGGTGCTATTCCATCATCCAAAACCAAATGTACCTGAGGCTGCATTCTTATTTATGTGTGCTCCTAAATTTATTTCCTGGGAAACTTGTAGTGAGACGAGCTTCAAACAACAGATAACATAGTGGGTGAGAATTGCAATGGCAAAGAAATTATATGGTACTAATGTCTGGCCAGAAGTAACGGTCCATATTCGTTTCTTACTCAGCCCTTAATTCAGACAATATTTCTCTTGACTTAAATGGAGCTTTGGATGGGTAAAAAGTGAGGTCTTGGTCCAACAAAAAGCTTGAGCTGGTAGAACTTGGTGCTAAAATCTGTTTGTGGGCCACATGCATGGGCCGAATGGCTTGCCTTAGGTTTTATATACCTTTTTCAGCTATCCTGAAAAAGCAACCAGTTTAGCACAGCATATTCATCACAGTTTGATACTTGATTTATGATTGAATAGAGGGCATTTTTTAGGAGTTTGGAGTTTGTTTAAGCACAATTTCTTGGTTTTATCTAGGTACTGAGACTAACCTGCAAAGCTAGAGGGCATCAGAACACTGATTTACATTTTAAAAATTATGATTTAATAGAAAGTTTAGATTAAAAACTACTTTAGTGTTCAACCTTTTAGCAGAAACATCTACCTAATATAGCTATTAGGCCACAATTGCACTCCTACCTACCCCACCCTTCCACGCAAAAGTTCAGACTCTGACATGACATGAAATGTCTCTTCCCCTTTCAAGCCCTCATTTCCGTGGTGTGGTGACTTACTGTCGATAGAAAACAAAGAATCAGAAAATCTGTCAAATTAATTTTCAGAAAATAAACACTGCAGCTCGTGAACAGGCTTATCAATTTTCATGTTTCATTTTCAAAATTTTACATGTTTAGGAGTTACTTCCAGTCTCTCACAAAATGTTGGAACAGCACTGAAGAATTTAGGCCAAGTATACCATGGTACATCCAAATTTAAAAAAAAAAAGTTTTTCTGTTGCAAAAGTGCAAATGGAATAAAACACTTTAATTCCTTTGATAAGTATTCTGTGTGCCTTACCTCCCCCTCCCCTAAAAAAACCCTCCACACTAAAACAAGAAAGAAATCACAGACTAGAGCAAGAGAAGGGAATGTGGCACAGGGAGGCTGTGTGCCACTGTCAAGGGCACCCACGCCTGCTTTGAAAAGTGTCTCAGGCACTTAGGAGCTTGTGACCTTTGACAGATGGCCTGTGGTGAATCTGTTTGCAGCCACAGAAGGTACTGTTTCCTTTAATCTCTGCTTCATACTTGTGCCATGAGCAGCAGAAGGGGTGCTCCTCAAGTTCACAGCCTGGCCTGGAAGTACAATCTCCCTCTGTTGATGGTTTATGGTGGGCTAAGATGTGAGTCCCCGTCCGCTTTTCCTGGTCACGGCCAGTCTCCTCCATCAGAACCCTGTAGAAACAGGGTTCCAGTATTTCAAACCGTTGCATCTAAATCTGTCAGGAGCTGTGGGAGGGCCCTGCCCCTCACTGCACTGGGCAAGACAGAGCATGAAGCAGTACATTTAGCAATGCTTAAGATCATTAGTCTAAATCACTTTTAACAATGAGATGTGCTCTGAAACCTTTTAAGTCCTTTTGAAAATGTAATCCCATGCAGCCCTCTGGAAAGTCCTGATGGGAGTTGCTGCCAAAACTGAATTTAGGATTTCTGGCTCCAAACAGACTGCAGGAGCTTTTTTCCTTTTTTTTTTTTTTTTTATCCTCCAAGAAACTGACTTTCAGGAAATAATATGTCATCTGGGTGGTTAAGTCACAGTGCAATTGTCAGTGATTCTATTTCTTCATGAAGTATCTGGTAAAAATGTTAGTAAAAGGAGACGGAATAATGAGGTGTGTATTTCAGTGAGTCAGTGTCTACCAGAAAAAAAACTTATTTAGAAAAAACACAGTCTAGCAAGTAGTGCTGCAGTTTGCCCATTATCTCCCAAAGGTTTGTGCAGGAACCTCTTCTCTTGAAATGTACATTGTCTTCAAACCCATCCACAGAGAAAACCTGTCTTCAGACAAATCTTCCTCTTTCTATTATTCCAGAAGTTGGTCTAAGTCTTTGTTTATAAACCCAAAACCTTTTTTTCATCTTACCACAGCTTTAAACACGTCTTATATCTTTCTTGTACCCTCTGAACAATGTCCTTGGAAGCTGCTGCTTGAGCTCCAGCAGTTACTGTTGTTAACTCTGAGCAGCTCTGCAGTGTTTGTCTTACCATTCGGGATTGTGCTGCCCAGACCAGAGCAATAGGAATGGCAGTTTTGATGAACTACTCCCAGCAGATGGAATCCACCTTGCTCAAAAGAGTGGAAAATAAGTTATAGCAACCTCCTTACACTGCCTTTTGTGCCAGTACTACAGCTATGCTGTTGGTCTGCCCCTTGTGCCAGAGCTTGCATGAATGTGCCTTTTCAGGAAAATTTTGTAGATGTGTTCCTCAGTGCCCACACTGGGGAATAGTCCTCTACCTATATGAAGTGATAAGAAAAAAAAAATTTTTTTTCCTTTCAAAGGAAAATGCTGCTTCCTTTGTTACTGCTACTTCAAGCGTTATCTTGCATCACTGCCGTATATTCAGTCCCTTTGAGCTGATGGAACTTTGCCTATTTCCTACACTCTCAAAAAAAGAAAGATGCATGTCAGAAATGTGGTTTAAGTTTGGTGGACCGAAATTAATGATACATAGATGCTTAAAGTACTAGAAAGTGCGTTTTTTCATTTCCCTATCTTTTTTTCTAGAACAGATAAATAGAGAAAGATATTATTTATTGCAATTTTTTTTTCTTTTGAGGAGTGGATGTTTAATAAATACAACTGTGCAAAAGATTCCTGTTAGTAGATGTAATCTAAATTTATATGATAAACATGGACTAAAACAGGTGAGCTAAATGGAGTACATTTCTGGGTTTTGGTTTTTTTAATATATGTTTTCATTTGTAATTTTGAAGATGACAGTTACACATGGGAGCATTTTATCTTCTGGAGTTCTGTGATTCAGTTTTAGCAGTGGCAAAAATATCTGGAAGTAAAAAGATCCCATTATGAAAAACCTATATGCAATTTAAATCTCATTTCTAAATTACAGGGAGGTCTAAGAGAGAGGTGTATCTTAATGTCAAAAATTGTTGTACTACTTTTGGTTGCCATCTCTATTTAGGATTGAATTTCATTAATGGGATCTATATCTATATTTATATAAAGAGACATACAAGTGAAACAGGAGTTACAGGATATTTCAGTAGCACTTCAGTTACAGAATTTTTCCAAGTCTTTTTCAGTCTTTACAGTTTCGTGCATATACATCCAGCATCTGTCTGCCTTGGTTGGTTTTTCTGTGTTCTAAACATAGACATTTGCTTAACTCATCTCATCTAAAAATAAAGCGATGAGTCCTTCATATGAAACAGATTAGCATGATCACAGACCTATAGAGTCTGGAAAAATTAGTTACATGCTGCATCTATTTTATATAAGTGGCTGTGTTGCATGGAGATTATTAATAATAGCGTTTGGATGGGGTGCCATGTATTTTAATGACACATTACAGTGTAAAAGCTCTCTCTCTTTCCTCTGAGAAATCAGACTAATACCAGAGTAAAGTCAAAGATAGCAGGTCAGGGAAGGGAAGGCTTGGAAAGTTTTGATAATGTAAAGAGAGATTGCATACCAATTAGGATTTAAGTCTAGATCTAAAATAGGAGAAAGCAGTTGCTTGTCACATGCTAAGAAGGTGGTGTCTTCCTTCATTGGGAGCAGTATAGTATGAGAGAGCTGATTTGAGAAAAAACTGTAATCGCACAAGGAGGGAGAATGGTGGAAAGGGCAAAGTACTTTTTCTGCTTTTGGATTTGAAGGCAAAGAAATTTGGCTGAGCTGCTTGAGATGACAGTGTATCCTGACATGATCTGAAAAGCCCATATGATTTTGGGAACAGCCAAGTTAAGTAATAAAATTTCTTTGTTTTCAATGGAAAGTACATGCTCTGAACTGCGGAGCATAGTTTTTGAACAAAGGTGTTTTGACTCAGTTCTCTCTAATTGCATTATTCTCTACAATTCCAAGAACAATTTTGTTATGAGCTGGGAGTGCCTGGGGCAGCTGCCTCTGCTTTGGTGGCCTCTTGTTTGGAAGAGAGGGATTGTTGAGTAGTTTTTCTTTGCTCTGTGTCCTGCTTTCTCCCCAGGCTATGGGAAGCCAGGCAGATGAAGAGTGGGGTTTGTTTGTCTTTTGCATACACTCACAAGTGCATGAAAAAGTTTTCTCCCTTTCCCCATATAGCCAGCTAGGAGAGGAAAAGGACAATAGGGCTGATTCTGGTCCAGTGCAAGTAGAGGCAATATTTAAATGATATCAAATGGTAATTGCTATAGGTAAAGAAATCAAAATAGTTCATGCCCTGGAAAGCTTATATTTCGGACAGCTCTAATCAAAATATCCGTCTATCTATTGAGTATGTACTATGTACTCTGTTGACAAACATACAGCATGAAACAAAATGAAAAAAGGCCATTTAGTTATACTCCTACTCAATTGCAGCCATTGTTTCTTTGCATTAGAGCGCATAAAATGATCCCTTTCAAATTGAGACAATTAAAAAAAAAAACTTGTGAAAAAATGAAATTTTCTACTGTGTCAGACCCAGCTACCCAAAGTTACTTGCCTTTTCCCCACAACTGCTGTGTGTAATGAGAAACTGTTCCATTACCAGCTGTGTTAACCCAGTTAAAATACTGGGGGATTCAGGGTTTAAGATTAGGTTACAAGTTCTTGAGGCCTCTCAGATAACCTGTATGAATCCATGGGCTTTCTATGGACTGTATTATTAGTGACAATGAGCTTGAAAACACTGGAAAAAGAAATATGTCAAAAAATCCCAGAATGGTTAGAAGAAAAAAGGAAGGAAGTAGTATCTGCCCATAGCAGATCATAACGAGTTAACATTTGGGGCGGGGGGGTGTGTACTGAGCTACTGTCACTGTCTCTGAGGTAAAATGTGGCAGTTACTTGACAGTGCAGAGAGAGGCTTCACAACAGCTCAGGACAATAATAACATCTGCAGTTAATAACACTCCTCCCCGCAGTGGGTGTGCCAAGAAATCTG